GATTGCCTGTGTCTCATTTGCATTTAAAGAGACAGGCACTCCAAAGCGAGCGCTCTGAACGGGGCTGTTTTGGGTTAGGGTTAGGGTTAGGGTTAGGGTTAGGTAGGGGGACTGAACTGCTATTGGGCTTCATCCTTATGGGATTTTGACCAAAGCTTGTCACAGACATTACATTAGGACACCAGGGAACTGGTTTAACTTGTTGAAATAGGGATATTATACGGTATATGTCTCTTTTAAGCTAATTTATACTTAAGACTCGTCTACTAATGATGTGTAAAGAAAACAGCACAACCCGTCAAACATCTGTAACTCCCGATGATTTAAAAAAAATCTGTTTGTCAAATCATCACAGTTTAAAGGCTCCAGAGCGCCACCAATTCAACAAAGTCCAGTTGTTTTTTATTTTCAGGACTTTTAGGGGGTTTGAACCTGATTGACCAGTCTTTGAATGTCACCAGGGAACTGGTTTAACTTGTTGAAATAGGGTATAATATGTCTCCTTTAAAGCTAATATGGCTGCTAACCTGCTGCTACACATCACATTTTAAGTCTTTCCTGTTTCTGCTGCCTCTCCTCCAGGCTACCTGATCCACGAGTCGGCGGCGTGGAGCTCGGGGCTCCGGCGTTGGTTCTTCCTGCCCCGCCGGGCGAGTCACGATCGCTATGAGGAGGCCGCGGACGAGCGGCGCGCCACCAACCTGCTGCTGTCCTGCCCCGAGGACTTCAGCCGCATCAGCGCCCGCCGGGTGGGCCCGCTCAGCCCCACGCACGGGTTCTCCTCATTCAGGTTCATCCCGGGAACGGGGGACCGGCTGGTCCTGGCGCTGAAGTCGGAGGAGGACGCGGGCCGGATCGCCACCTACATCACGGCCTTCTCACTGGACGGACGCGTGCTGATGCCGGAGGAAAAGATCGGAGACGTGAAGTACGAGGGCCTGGAGTTCATCTGAACACCAGAGCTGGATAGATTCCTCCATTTTCAGATGGATATCACCCCATCACCCCTCTGTTTTAATATGAGACTGAGTCATGCTTCAGAGGCCAAAAGGGGACAGGATTTTAAGTGAGATTTTAAGTAAGACTACTTCTGCTGCTAGCTAAAACTCTGATTTTAACTGGCCGACTTGACACTAATGCAGCTCTTTTTTTCAGGAAAGTTTGGAAAACTGAAGTTCTATTATTTTATATAAATGTATATTCTATAAACTCGAAATGAGCTTCTTTTTTTTTTTTTAAATAGGAAGAAAAAACAAACAATTTCTCTGTTTTAACGGTTGATGTTGAAAAAGTTGGGAAAACTGAAATTCAACTTTCATAAACTTAAAATGAGCTTCTTTTTTTAAATAGGAGGAGAAAAAACATCAAATGTCTCAGTTTTAACGGTTTATGTTATTTTAAATGTATTGGACAGCGTTACACGTCTTCCCTTCAGTTTTAAACGTTGGCTTCTGTGAAATGGAGGCTGTGATGCGTTAAAGAGCCAACGTTCAGACACCAGCTAAGAGGAATCTCCATTCCTGCAGACGGACTCTGCCGGTCAGACACTCAGGGGATCAGAAACTAATGTCCTCACAATACTTGAAGCCTTAAGCTCCTGTCCGCTTCTCAGAGTGCGCACAGAGAAAGACCTCCATCACACCGACGCGATGCCAAAGCCGCATCTTAAAGCGAGTATTTTCAGAACAAAAATAAACATATTTAGTCAAAGATTAACCTTTAATATATTTTCTTTGTACCCATCCAACCAAAAAGAATAAAATTTAACCCTGTGTAACTGTGTGTGTGTCGATGTGTGAAATACATTTTTATTTTCTCTACATTTTTCAGTGTTCAGGTCTCCAAAATGACCATCAATGCATGGTGATTCATTTAACTGATTAATATGATCATTAAATAAGGAAAGAGAATGACTTTGGTGAATTACAGCAGATTATCCGACACCTAAAGGCTTCAACATGAGCGATCAATCACGTTTCAAACCTCTGCAAAGTAAGTTCACAGACTCGTTGCCATGACAACGACCCCTTCGGGTAGACCCTCCGCCTGAACGGGTCTGAACGAGCCCAGTTTGGAGTAGAAGTCGAGCATCCTCCGATCGCTGTGCCTCAGCTCGCAGAACGCTCCTCTGGACCCTGAAAGATGAAAGTTTATCAGCAAAAACACAATTTTTGATCAAAAACTGTTGAACTATTACATACATGAACTCATTTATTTTGGGAAAATTTAAAAGCTTCATCTAATTTTGGGAGCTCTGTGCAGCATGGACATCCAGAGGTTTAAATTTAAGCTGCTTTTGGGGGCAGGAGGGAGGTCAGGAGTGAGATGGCGCCCCCTTGTGGTGAACCCAATGTTCACATCTATAAGCATCATCTTATTTGTCCAACTTCATCCTCCTTTCTGTAAACGCACCGGTCAGTCATGATGTTTAAATTCATACAAAGGCAGGATGGAGGCTTTCTGGAGAAGGCACAGATAAGTTTAAGTGTCAGAGGGAGGCTTGGTCCAGCTAAAAGGAGTAAATGTGTGCTTTGAATCAGTAGCATAAGCAGCCTTTTACCATCTCAAAAACAGCCAGAATCAGAGGAATAGAGTCTAAACCAGAGCTAGAAAGACTGGTCCAGGTGATTATCTCTAGCTGGTTGGACTACAGTAACGGCTGCTCACTGGGCTCTGATCCAGCTGTGATCCTCTCTGACCAGAACCAGGAAATAGGACCACATCAGTCCAGTTCAGAACCAGGAAACAGGACCACATCAG